AGTGCCATTACGTATTGCTAATACTAAATGGGCAAAACCTTTCATGTCTTAGTATGTTTGTGATATCTGCCCGTTTCTACTAGAAGAGTATGGTTTGATCTGAGGAATCTTACAATATTCATTAGATAGATTTTGACATCGTATGAATCTAACAATGCAATTATGATGCCGGAAGTTGCCTCTTTTATGGACGAAAACAATCTCAAGCTCGGAACAACATTTAATTGTTTCTGGCTTTTAAACTTGATAGATATATTAAGCCCCTGTAACTACGTTGAAGATATTTTCATCTACTTAGATGATAACTGCTTACGTCAAAGATATTATAGTCTTCCTATCGACTTTGGTTACCATATTTTTCCCGTATGATAGAACTAAATATTTCTGGATCTGTTTATGTAACTTGCTTATCTTAATTAATAAAGACCAATATCTTGGACGTTCTTTTTTAGTGAGGAGTACCATCTGATAGGTATTAACCAGTTCAGACGTGAAAACGATACGTATTGCAATACGCTGATCGAAAACCGGTATTTTGAGATGCATTCGGAAACACTAGGAAACCTTGATGATCGTGGCAACTGTGGTAATGGTGGTGGTAATGATCGACGTGAAAATTATATCTAACTGAGAAATGCAAGATTTATGGACGTCAACTTCTATATTGTGGGATAGACAGTTGGCATACATAAATCCGCTTTTCTTACCCCATTCCACTTCTGCATGCCCTTCAAAGACTTTTACATTTGAACTCTATTGTTAAGTCTGGTTTGAAGTTGTGTTCTTAATTCTTGTTCAAGTGTTTCGGCAGTCGTTTTGATTGAGGATTGTTTTAAACATTTACACTCATTAATGACCAATGATCCCTGATATGTGAGAGTGGAGAAAGTAGTTAAAACTTAGGCAAATCCTAACTCCTATTGATGGGTAATTTATTCTTTTCCTTGTTTCATTTGTGCCAACATGTATTTATGTTCTTATTTTGTATCGCGATTAAAAGCAAGCTTATTATGGCTTAATCAAGCATAAGTGATTTTGTTGTGTTTTTTGCTTATAAATAAAAGGTTGGCTCAATTAACTCAATAATATGCTTTGCATCACCAATATATCGCAATATGAAAATTCTCTGCAATACCCACCCCTTACCATCTGAGCAGTAAAAGTGACTCTTCATTTAGATATGTCAGATATTTTGTCGGAATGTATTTGAGTTATCTGTATTGTTTTAAAAAATGATATTTTTAGATTTGACATCTCCGAGGATTTGTAGAAAATACAGAAAAGGCCTAAATAACATAGACACATATAAGTACTCCCTATAAAAGGATAGCTCTTCTTGCAACACGTCTCTCTTTACGCTTTGCAACACTTCCTTCTAATTCTTAAAAGTGTCCCCTTGATTCAAACTAAGTATTTCAAAAGGTTTTTTCGAAAGGAGGCATTTATTTGAAGCGGCATATAGGTACAACATAGGTATAGCATTATCACATTGGCATGTAGTCTTCGACAAACTTACAGCAGTAAAGCATGAAAATATGATTTTCCTTTGTCAGTTGCCTAATAAGTATCCGGTGTCCGATTCAAATTAGTCGTTGCTCTTGCTTTCAGGCACTGGTGTGTCTGATCCAGACTCTTGTTATTTGCACACCAGAGCCTAGATTTTTGAAGCTCTCTTAGCCTAAGATAGTCGTAAGTTAATGTTAATGTATGGCACTTACTTCTATCTTAGCGCTTAGAGAGCTTCGGAAAATCTAGCCCCAGTGTAATAAAGCTGTGATATCACTGACGTTAGCAATACACAAATTCTCATCATACGTCCCGTCGCAGCAGCTGTTTACAATCAATGAACGGTGACTTGGAATAAATGTTTTGCATTCATTATTGTCTTGTTAATTTGTTATGCCATGAAAGCATATTTGGTCATGTAATAAGATATGCCATCGTCGATTGAAACGTGGTCCTGCGACAGTCCATTATTGACATAACAAGCCATTCATTATCACATTTCTATTTCTGCTCTTTTGTCTCGTAAGGACAGTCCTATTATGAACAATTCATATCTTAAATTGAAGCAGCACGTTTTAACTCCTTGCTGACAATGCAAGCAATACCGCCTCCCTCGGTGGTAATTAATAACAGTTAATGAAGGGCCATCTGGTTTTGGACTGGAAGTGTATAGAAGCTGTTCTGTGTCGAGACAAGACCACCACCTCACTATGAAGACTTTGTTGGTACCTACTTGCGCTCTCCTTTGTTGCCACATGTTGGTCGCAACCCCTCAGGGGAAGGCGAGGGCCCACCTCCACCAACTGGCTGTCCTCCCCTAATGAGGGTATATGGGAAAATCCCGCCAACGCAGACAACAGCGGCCAGAGGGTGACGGTCCACCTCCACCAACAGGATGCCCTCCCACCTCCAGAGGGGCAATGAACAATCCCGACCACGCAGACAAGCACAACAACAAGGTCCCCAAGGTCAGGGGAGGCCAAGGCTCCCTAAGGTCCCCAAGGTCAGGAGGCCAAGGCTCCGAAGGTCCCCAAGGTCAGGGAGGCGAAGGCTCCAAGGTCACTCAAGGTCAGGGAGGCCAAGGCTCCCCAAGGTCCCCAAGGTCAGGGGAGGCCAAGGCTCCGAAGGTCCCTAAGGTCAGGAGAGGCGAAGGCTCCCAAGGTCGCCAAGGTCAGGAGGCCAAGGCTCCGAAGGTCCCAAGGTCAGGAGGCGAAGGCTCCCAAGGTCCCCAAAGGTCAGGGGAGGCGAGAGGCTCCCAAGGTCGCAAAGGTCTGGAAGGTCCCCAAGGTCAGGGAGGCGAGGCTCCCAAGGTCGCCAAGGTCAGGGGAGGCCAAGGTTCCCAAAGGTCCCCAAGGTCAGGGGAGGCCAAGGCTCCCAAGGTCCCAAGGTCAGGGAGGCCAAGGCTCGAAAGGTCAGAGGGGTGATGGCTCCCAAGGTCAGAAAGGCAGAAGGTTCCAGAAGGTCAGAAAGGTGAAAGATCCGAAGGTCAGGAGAGGCGAAGGCGGGCAAAGGCCCCGAAGGGCAAAAGGAACAAGGATCTGAAGGTTCCGAAGAAAGGCCCAGAAGACCCCCTCCACAAAGGTATTTACTGACATTCAAGGATAGTTTCTTATGGGCTCAGTTCCATATGTATGTTTCTTGTAGGTAAGCTTCAAAATGACTATACAGTAGAGAGTATGTACATGTTTCAACTTCTTATTTGACAAGACGAGTCTGAGTGTATCTTGTATAAAGAGCCGTTCATGCATTTGTGATCAGTGACGGTGGACTAGCCTGGTGGTTAAAAGTTTCACACGTCATGTTGAAGTACGGTCCTGTTATCCATATGGGTACAATATGTAAAACACCTTGGTCCTTCCCCAGTCATATTACCAGAATATTGGAAGGCCGGCGAAAAAAGACATACTTACTCATAAGTCACGCATCTTTGATCAAAACCTGCAGTCACGTTACCAATGTGCGTGAAAACCCCATGAAACGTAATATTACTGTTTTAACGCATGTTTTCTCATCTTTTCAGACGATGATTCCTGTGAAAGAAATAAAACAAATGAATACTGAACGATTTGTTACGTGTAGTTCCTGCATGTGTGTGTTTTGTCATAATGTGTGTTTAACAGTGATGTGTGAAGAAAGATATATTGTTTTGAATACTTCATTGGTATTATCATCTGTTTGTGGTGAAAACGTATTGATGAATTTCACTTTAAACGAAAAAAAAGTAAATCAAAGAAGTTGAAATTAAGTTTGCGAATTCTCATAATTTTACCTTGCCAATTGAACAGTTAAATTTCAGAATTTTTATACAACTTAGGATAAAGTTGTTTAACAAAACGATCATAGATGAGCGTTAGTGAGTGAGTGAGTTAATATTTAACGTCACATCGGCAATATTTCCAGCCATATCGTGACGAGAACATTTGATATTGAAATGAATTATATGTATATTATAAAACCTGCCAACGAAGGGCAGTAAAACAACTAGAATATCACATATACAGATAAAACTAGTAATAGAGTCTAAAACATTTTAGACAAACACAATATAAAATTGGGCTATAGATCGCCAACAACTGAAGGTAGGTCACCATACTAGAAACCATGGGGACTTACATTACTTTCGCTATCTGCATGGATCCTAGTTGGATTTACACCATCCCTCAGCAGCTGGCGATTGTAGGACAAGTTTAGCCAAAATTTAAATGAACAAATATACTACGATTAAAAATCGGGTAAGCAAAAAGTTAACTTTGGAAAGTTTTGGGACTTACGTACCCTCTCAGGAGGACAATAATTTTACAATACTTCAACCCTTTGAGGATACAGCCACTAACAATCTCAGTTACTAATTCAAACTACCAATAATAAAATATATATCTATTTACAAATCACTTAACAAATCTAATTCTTTTTTTAAAAGGCAATAACTAAATGAGGGAACGAACATTATTAAAAGATCCTTAAATGTTTTGACATTAAAATACTTATCCCTTGTGATGGAATATTCAATGCAGTCAAGCAAGACATGCTTGACTGTGATTCTTCATCACAAAGGGATGCAAACTGGAGGATCTTCGCCTTTAAGCAAATATTCATGGAAATTATATCTAGTATGGCCAATGCGACATCGCCGCATAATGACCTCCTCAAATCTGGACTGACAACCCCAAGTAGGTGTAACCAATGTAAGGTTTTATTGCATGTAATTTATTAATACTACTTGAGTGTCCCACTTCTTCTGCATCAGATCACGGATGTAAGTTCCCAATGCAAAGCTTTGTAATCAGAGTAAGGAATAAGAAGTGGTGTCACAGATTTGTTGAGTGCTACCTTAGCAGCAAGATCAGCCATTAATGTTCCCAGAAATGCCAACGTGGCTGGGTAACCAACAAAAGACGATGTCGCATTGGCCAGTAGCAAGATCATTATAGAATTCGATTATTTCAATTAAAGTGGATGTTTGCAAGAGATTTTTAATCGCCTGAAGGCAAGAAAAGAGTCAGAAAATATTATATATTGTTTATGTTTGGGATGTCTTTGAATATATTTAAGAGCCTGTTAAGATGGCGTTTGCTTCTGCTAACAAAATATGAGAGCTGTTATCTGGTATTCTAGAAGATATTGTTCTGGATCCAATGACAGTGGCACATGCACCACTGCGCCACCATCCTTGGACCCATCTGTAAAAATAAGGATTTGTATGTATTATAGTTATTCTTTTAATTGATTATATTCTTGTTTATACTGTAATTCGTTAGTTTCTGGATTTTTAAACTTTGTCAGTGTTAGGTCAACTTGTGGCCTCACTGATTGCCAAGGAGGGAGAGGAAAAAGACGGAAGGAGATATATTCTCCAACTCAATGCCAGCAGCAGCAATATATTGTTGGATTCTTATCCCAAGAGGTGGAACAAGTGAAGGTTTTTATTATACGTAAGTCCTCATAAAGAGGATTAAAAACGCAAAGTGATGTGAGCAGGATTAGATTCATTAGAATATAACTTTGTGATATATTGTAGGACAATTTGATACGGCGAAGTTTTTAAAGATGGCTCATCGGCCTCAACGTAGAGACTGTCAATGGGAGGGTTCTGAAAGACCCAAGACAAAGTCTTAGACCCTGGTGATGGATAGAATCAAGTAGTTTGAGGTTGCTTTGCAGGCCCCACCATATACGATGGAGCCATAATCAAGTTTCGAGGCGGACCAATGATCGATACAGGTGGAGGAGTGTAGCTTGATCCTCCCCCACTTTGAGTTGGAAACAACTTTCAACAAATCGAGTGCCTTCAGGCATTTGGCTTTCAGTGATTTAATATGTGGCAAAAAGTTAAATGGGAGTCGAAAATGAGACCCAAGAATTTGGCCTCCTTAACCACTTTGATGGGAGTGCCATTTTAAAGAGATAGTTCTGGATCTTTATGCGGTTTATATTTTCTACAAAAGTGTAGACAATTAGTTTTTGGATTTGGGAAAATTTAAAACCGTTTTCAAGACACCATTTATTTATTTTATTTAAACACAGCTGCAATTGCCGTTCAATAGTATGCATATTTTACCACGACAAGAAATATTAAAATCATCCACAAAAGTGATCCATCAATGGAATCGTTTAAAACCTTGGATAAACTGTTAATCTTGATACTAAATAAAGTGACGAGACAAAAATACTGCCTTGAGGGACACCTGATCCTGATTGTAATGATCAGACAGAGGTTGAACCCACTCGGACTTAAGGAAATTGTCTGTCTTTCAAAAACCGTGATATAAAAAAAGGCAAACGGCCTCTCAAACCAAAGTCATGTAAATCCCTCAAAATGCCATGCTTCCAGGTCGTATCATAAAGCTTTCTCGAGATCAAAGAATATCGATACGGCATGTTGTTTATTTACGATAGCATTCTTAACAAAAGGATTCCGAAGCGCACCAAATGATCAATGGTACTTCGATTTTTTCCTGAAACCACATTGAATATTGGTTATAAAGGTTATTGGTTTCAAGATACCAAGTTAATCTATTATTATTCACCATACGTTCCATGGTTTTACAGACACAGCTAGTTAGAGATTGGTCTGTAATTAGACGGATCTGTATGATCCTTGCCAGGTTTTGGTATTGGGACTACAATGGCATTACGCCATGAAGGCGGGAAATTCTCCAGACGTCCATATTTTGTCAAATATATCTAAAAGTGTCATCAGACATGGTTCAGTAAGTGTTTCAGTAGCTGGTGGTAATGTATGTTGTCATCACCCGCTGCAGTGTCATGAGCTTGCTCAAGAGCAGTATGTAGCTCATGTAATGAAAACACTTCATTATAATCTTCACCGTTATGTGATTCGAAATTAAGTTTGGTCTTTCCTGTTGTTTCTGATATCTCTGAAACTCAGGGACATAATTGCCGATGATGAATTTTTGGCAAGGGTTTCGCCAATTTTATTTGCAATGTCAGATTTATCAGTTAGCAAGTTATCACCATCTTTAAGATGATGTACAGCTGATTTTGAACCTTTGCCTTTTATTCGCTGAACCATGTTCCAAACCTTAGACATTGGCGTACGCGAATTAATTTGGAGACATAATTTCTCCAAGATTGTCGTTTGTTTTTGTTTAAAGGTACGACGCGCCTTTGCATTATATTTTAAATTTATTTAAGTTATGGACAGTTGGATGATGGCGGAAATAATGCTCGGCCTTTTCCTCGCTTTTTCTGGCTTCGTCTACAATCAGTATTAAACCATGGTTTTCGTACATGTGGAGTCGTAGAGGACTTGGGTATACACTCATCAGCTATTTCATTTAAAATATCAGAAAAGGTTTGAAGATAGGATCAGTTATATCACTGAAACATTCAGGTCGCAATTTAGATTGACATAAGGTTTGATATAAAGACCAGTTCGCCTTCGAAAAGTTCCATCTTGCATACGATGGAGTATCAGATGGAGTTATTTCTGAAAGTATAGCTGGGAAGTATCACTTCCACAAAAGGTCATTATGAACAGACCAATCAAATTCATTCAGAGGTGAATCTGCAAGAGATAAATCAAAGAAGAATAAGAAGTGCCAGTTGCAGGGATGAAGATAGGTGCTTGAATCATCATTAAATATGCACAGGTCATTATTGAAAATGAAGTCTTCAATTATTTTACCTTTAGTATTAGTGGTAGTACTGCCCCAAGAGTAGGTTGTGACCGTTTAGGTCACCCATGATAACACATGGCTTTGGGAGTTGATCATAGAGTGATTGAAGATCAGTCAGCTGGAAGTGTCGATGAAGGTGGGATATACAAGAGAGCACAATGTAAATGCTACACCCAGAGTAAGTCGCACTGCAACAGCTTGGAGATTAGTGTTAGAGTAACAGGGCTGTGAATTACATTCTGTCAGAATAAGGATAGTAGAACCTCCAGTGGCTCTATCACCTGGAGGGAAAAATAATTATAGGCTTGAAACTGACGTAAGTTAAAAATTATCTGTCTGTTTCAGATATGTCTCTTGCAGACAGAACGCTGATGGCGTTAAATCCTGGAGTAATAGCTGTAGTTCATTAAAATTTGTCCGGAGTCCTCTACAGTTCCACTGCACGATATTGGTAGATAGACCTATCTTTTAGGCGGATTAATTGGGGATCTACCCCTCACCGTTTTCGAGGGGCGACAAGCTATGTGCCCTAGAATGGACGTTTTCGGACACGTCCATGTCCTCAAGTGATCCGTATTTGTTAAATAGTTTAATTTTATCATCTGACCCTTTTGGGGCTCTGCCACTTTGTTTTTCCAAGAATCTTGCTTCTGTTTGTTTTGCTTTTGATGATTTGAGATGAGCGTTAACTTAGACCAACCCTACTTGTTCTCGGTATTTCATTTAATGTCCATACCCCTTGTAATACAAACCAATAATAGCGATTTGAAACTATGATCGTTTGTTAAACAACTTTTAACCTAAGTTGAATAAAATTCTGAGATTTAAAAGTTCAGTAGGCAAGGTAAAATTATGAGGATTCGCAATCTTAATTTCACTTTATTTGATTAATTTTACTTTTTGTTTAAAAGTGAAATTCATC